CCCGCGTCCCCTGCATCGGCAGGTGGACTCTCAACCACCGCGCCACCAGGGAAGCGCCTTGCTTGGTCTCTTAACATGTTCCAGTTTCTCCTACCCTAACCCTAACCGTCCAGGCCACCCGAGACACACACCCCCTGCCAGCCCCCACTCCTACCCGTGCTAAGGTGGAGCACCACGTGGGCCTCCCACAGCCCTCCATCAGCCCAAGGGCCTTTCCAGGGGTGCTGCTGGGATGAGAGCGTGGGCACAGGGCACAGCTGCTTCCTGTCTTGCCCTCGCCTGCCTCCGCTGCGTGATGGTCGCTTTCGGGAGGCAGGTTGGCAGCGGCCGGGACCCAGGGGCCACCACTGGAGCCGACAGTGGCCATGGGGCTCATTCCCTGCCTGGAGCAGCTCTAGCAACTAGGAAGTTGGGTTCGGTCACACGAGTGACACGTGCAGAGGAAGCCACAGCCCCACCCCCAGCACAGCATGGGGGCTGCTCTGGTTCCACTGCAACAAGAAGCAGAGACTCGGGCTCTCAATTCTGCCCTTCCCGATTCCTCTGTCTGGTGAGGCCAGGAGCTGGCTCCTGCCCCGCGGGCCTGCTGAGGGTGCTCTGAGCCACCCCAGTTCCCTTGAGGCTGGTGCTCCAGGGCAGACACAGGGCGTGCCCCACACACACACACACACACACACACACGCATGCGCGCGCACACACACACACACACACACACACGCCCTGCTGTCCCCGTGCCGAGTCCTGGAGGCCACACTGACCCTCTGCTTCTCTCTTTGCAGAGTCCACACCCACTGGGATGTGAACATCTCCTTCCGAGAGACGTCCTGCAGGTAGGGCCAGGCCAGGGCCAGGCTGCCCCCACATGCTGTGCATGCGCAGGACAGAGACTTCTTGCTCCACGTCCCCTGGGTCTGCTTCTAAGTCTCTCCAGCCTCCCTCCCCTCCTCGTCTCCTTAGTCCGTCGTCTGTCTGTTGACTTGTGCCTAGGCTGTGACAGCAGCACGGCCGTGGGTGCTGGACTGCCCAACCCTGAAGCCAAAGTGTGCTCCCCCTCGCACACTGAAGCCCATCTGCCCAGAGCTAATGCCGTGACCAGCCTCTCCCACCCTCCCAGAGACCCACTGGGATGTGAGAATGGTGATGTGTGAGTGGGGTCTTGAAGGATGCATAGGAGTTCACTAGGGAAAGGGGTTGTCTGCAAAGACATGGAGGAGGGAGGGAAGGGGATGTGAGAAGGGAGGAGGGGAAGCTGGTAGGCCTGGCTCAACTGGATACTAAAGGGCCTTAGATGCTGGGACTGTTGGCATTGTCCTTCAGGCAGTGGGGAGCCACTGAAAGTTCTTGAGCAGGGGAGTAACCAGTGTATGTTTTGACAAGGTCCTGCTAGAGGCCCCGCCCAGCAGGTTGGGGGTTTGCTCCCAGGCATGGTGGAAGCAGAGAGGCTGAGGGGGCTGCCAATCCAAGATGTAGTAAGGAGATAAAAATGAGGGAACCTGATGAGGAGGTTGGGGGGTGTTGGGGAGACCCAAGTCCCCCGTTTCAGAAGGGCAGGGGTGGGCAGTCTGTGGGCAGAGCCCAGGCTGTGGTGCCTGTGGTGTCTGCTCAGTGGGGTCAAGTCTTGGCCCAGCTCTTCCAGGGAAGGCACAGGAAGGGCCCAACCCAGCAGGCAGTGGGCGTCCAGCACTGAGTGGCCCCACTTGCTGCCTGGCTTTGTGCCAAATGTGTTATTATTATTTATTTATTATTTATTTTTGCGTTGGGTCTTCGTTGCTGCGCGCAGGCTTTCTCTAGTTGTGGCGAGCGGGGGCTACTCTTTGTTGCAGTGCACAGGTTTCTCATCGCGGTGGCTTCTCGTTGCGGAGCACGGGCTCTAGGCACGTGGGCTTCAGTAGTTGTGGCTCGCGGGCTCTAGAGCGCAGGCTCAGTTGTTGTGGTGCACAGGCTCAGTTGCTCCGCGGCATGTGGGATCTTCCCGGACCAGGGCTCGAACCCGTGTCTCCTGCGTTGGCAGGCGGATTCTTAACTGCTGCGCCACCAGGGAAGTCCCGGATGTGTTATTATTTACGTTGCTGAGAACATCTGGGTCCTGGAGCCAAATTACAATGAAAACGTCTTTAAACTTATCTCCACCTTATTTTGAAGTTACCCAACTCAACTGATCATTTTTATGAACCGTCATGAACATTGACGACATTTTATGAGCCTTTTACTTGGGAAGCTACATGATAAATTTGTCAGCGAAGCCTGTAGGGAA